GAACTCCGATGAGAACGCTACAGCAATAGTTGCGGCAGTACTCACTGTAGCACAGTCACCCACAGCATACACTGTTCCCAAAGGCGCGCCTTTTACTCGTAACTGCGCATCCACTTCGATAGCCTTCTTATGTACTTGGTTGGGTAGCAAGCTAGTCACTCGCTCAGTAAACGGATTCATGGCGATCCCGGTCGACCATAGGACGAAGTTGGTTGGAATTGTGTGTTGCACAGTCTTTCCTTCGGAATCGCGCGTCGTGTATATCACGTAGTTAGGGTTCACCGCGCCAACACTGCAATAGAATTGTTAGTCATGTTAGGCCACGAAAATGTGTCTTTGGTACCGTGCGGATGTGATGAGGTCAACTCCATCTCGACTGAACTTGTCCTGGATTTTGTTGAGCTGATGTGTTAGTTTCACAAGGGCGCTAATTGACTAACCTCGACATACTTCGAGATAGCGGCTGAATACTAAAATCACGCTTGAGCGACAAGGACAGGAGCACTCGAGTGAACAAAGCCTACAGTGTTCAAGATGTGTTCTCGAGACTGAACGACATGAATTGAGACCTCCTCTCGACAGATCTTGGGATACTTTACATGGTATGAGCGCCAACAACACCTGGAGAAAATCGTAAGACCGACGTACATAATTCATGATGTCTTCTTGGCAAAAGTCGTAAATTTCCTTTACAGAAAGATGAGCGAAATCCTAATGACGGGGAAGGATAGCGCACCGCTGCAGTCTCTACACCAGTTGGACCTCCACCGCATACTACAAAACTCAGTAATCTCCGACGCTCCTCTGGTGAAGTTGTCGGTAGACTAGCCACTTCAAAGTTATCTGTAGACATTCATTAAGTTCGTTTTGAGATCTGAATGAGGGCCACCATACCCATTATGCGTCTACGAATAGCTTGTGCATCGCCAATAGTCTTGAGTTGGAAACAGTGTTCTAAGCCGGGTACGCCGTGAGTGCTGGATGTAGACCCAACGGCAATGATTAGTTTGTCATAACTAGGTAACATTCAGTGACATGGGAGGCTCCGTGGAACGGAATGGGGACGCACGGAACGTAAAAATGATCTCTTCCTCCGTCCGGGTTCGTAGCCTCAACCTCCAATAGCTGCTCAGAGAAGACAACATCGATTGCTTTCCCTTGAACGAAATGCCCCCGTACACGCGCGATGATCTTGCGAATAGGCTCGATAAGAGAGCGGACTTGAACGGTACCTACGGCCGCAGCTGGAAGACCATAGAAGCGTGAGCACTCTGGAACGACAAATTTCGATTACTTACATGGAAGTAACGGAGTGAACGTCGTGTATGTTTCCGCGGAGACGACGGTGACGTGATAGTCTCCTGGAGAGAGTTTCTCCAAGACTCCCATTGCCTGTAATCGCGACGTTAAGGATCGACAAGAAGGGAAAGTCAAAGAAATACGCACACCCCAGCCGCCACCAACAATCACAAGTCGTGGTTTCTCTGCTAGCTTCTTGTTCTCTTCATCATCGTCATCGTCGACCTGAACGCGAACAACAGGGAGCCCCTTCGGTCCACCAAGCTCCATCAAGGCGAGAGGCGCACGAGGAACACGCTCAGCATGTTGGTCGGAATATGTGAAGGCGTCATGAATGAAGATTCCAGTCCCAAGCGCAAACAAGCCGAAAGCCGAAGATAATGCAAAATAACCCGTGAACCTTGCACACCTCACAGCTTTGCTAGCCGCAGAATTAGTCGTCGCATAGCGGACGTGTCGGGTGAATGGAAGAAGAAGGGCATTTTGATGACATGCTCTGCCTAGCGCGCGCGTACACAACGGTCGCGGCGCGAAGAGCATAGACGGGTGTCTTTATAAGAAGCCCGAGTGGAGGGGGGAGTAGTAGATGCCAGTGTGTCGTTGGTAGGAGCGCTGCCTCGGACGATTTCATTTTTGTACGGAGGACGCATCGGGTATACATGGCCGACATCACCATCGGGCGACTGAAACGGCAGATTGAAGTGGCGGGCCATATGCGATGACGCTCGGAGCATGTCGCGAGTTGCCCAAATTAGAGAAGGCTCAGAGGAATCAGGATTGGCCAGCCTGGATGTCTACCGGAGCCGCCACAGATATTGATTGGGGACTACTCTGTAAGTCCAAGGATAGGTTGCGACAGCAAATTCTGTGTAAGGCTTCAAGCTTCAAGCTTCAAGCAGAAGAGCATGAGCGAAAAAGTCGAAAAAGAAACTGATCCGATCAGAAAAGTTATCAGATAAGCATGCAATGACTCATACATACCTCTCGCCTCACCTATCTACCCCCGAGCTGATACAACATCGAGGACGTTTGACGATACGGGTACAGTAGGTACCCAGTTTGATCCACTCTTAGCCCGATACTAAACCAATCTCGTTTCAAGTAAAGTACAGCGTAGCGTTGTTTGTCTCTTCCCGCTCTTTTCTATTCCCTCCCCAGTCCGGATCCACAATAGAGAAGCCTCCGCGGATAGAACGAGCTGACTGTGGCGGTATCTATAAAACCCTGGTTCGGGCATCGATGACTACTGTGTCGGCGTGTTTCGGTCTCATTAGTGCCTTCATGACCGCGTTCGAGTCAACAACAAAGATCGCCAGGAGCTTGCAAGCTGCGCGAATTCCGACATCGCCGGTCACCTGAATGACGCAGACGTGCGCAATTTCTTTATCACTCGCAGCCTTCGTGCACCGAATGATGCTCTACCAGATCCGGGGAAGCTTCGCGAGGAATTTGGTGATTTAATGATTCAATGAAAGCTTTGCAGCACTGCTGTGTCGTTCAGTCTTGCTTTCACTGTTCGCGGACTCGGCGACAAAACTTCAATACTTTGAGGCGCGCACCTCTTGTGTGTGAAAACGATCCGTCGTCTTCGCTCTTCAACCTCTCTTTCGCTATGGCGCCGCAAGAAAATAGAAAGACATAGACCGCAGCTTCACATCCGAAAGTGACGGAACAAAGGCGGGATACAACAATAGCCTCACTGGAATGAAGAGGCTTATCTTCGCTGAGATACACTGAATTTACATTGATTGGGATACAATATGGGTTCCATTGAATGAGTCTACCAAATGAGTCTAAGTCGGTCCATGAAGAAACGTTTCCGACGCTTACCTTCTTCCCCTTTACCAAACCTCATATCGCCTAACAATCCATCGTCCGCGGCGGTCCACATCTGAGCGCCTCCATCATGCGTACAGACACGACGTGTCGCGTAGCAATCTGGTCCCACAATTTCCCCATCCACCTTCACATTCCCGTCTTCGCCAAGCGAGGCAACGTAAGGGAGCCCATCGCTCGTGCACACCGCTAGCCTATTCTTGTCGATCCATGTAAGGTCCTCGGTAGCACTGACACTCCCTCCAGCGCCGCGCTTCCACTGTGCTACGGGTCGTTCGAGGGAGCGCACATCAAAGACGCGAACGAGTCCTCGAGAGTCACCAATGGCCAACGAAGCGCCCTCAGAGTGGTATCCCAGCTTGCTACCGCCACCTTGTATGACCCGTTCTTGAGCGATGCCTTCCTGGCCCTGCTGAGGCGTACGTAAATCGAATCGATGTACACCTCCAGATGTCGCTGTGTATAAAGTGCTTTCATCCGCCAATGCCAACGCGTTGACAGCGCTGTCTAACCACTCGATAGAAACCTGTTTTGCGCCAGGAACATCCCAGACACGCACTGTACCGTCCGCCCCCGACGAAATGACTGTCTTTCCCACACCCACGATCGCTGTCGATGTCACGGAGCGAGTATGGCCCATAAAAGTACGTGCAGAAGTGAGCGGGACGCCATCAGATTCAACTTCTGATGCGGAGAGAATGGAGACGGAAAAATCTGCAGATGAAGAGAGCAGGACGCGAGAAGAGGGGAAGAATTTCAGCGATGTGAGCGTGCTTTTGTGGGGGCGGGATTTCACAGTGCTCGACGTTGCTTGCGTGTTGTGAGCAGAGCCATTGGTTGAAGAGCCGTTGACCATTGCGGAGCGTAATCCGGTAGGACAGAGCGCAACGCCACCATCCAGGAAGCCCATGGCAAACTGCTGTCCATCGGGAGCAACATCGAACGCCGTAATTCGATGAGGGCTCTCTGGATTAGAGTAGTACGAGTCCGTGTATTCACGAGCTGGAGCGAAGATCTTGGTGGATGGAATATTCAAACCCGGCGAGGAAATAGTATAGCGGATTTTGTTCAAGTCCACCTGCAGAATCTAAGCCCATAACTGAGATTTAGATGGAAATGTACCAACTCTTTCCAGTTTAGCGTCTCCGTCTCCGCAGTTTTGGAACATTACGAGATTTCGGTCCACCTCGTCAAGGACGACGCGAAGTTTGCCGTGGGCGCCGCCACCATCTCTCTGCGAATTCGACGGCGAATGCGAAGGATAACATGACACCCATATGTCCTCCCACGGCACGACTCCGTCGCTCACATCCTTAACCACATTAAGAAACGTAGGCTGAACAGTGCTAACCGGTAATGAGGAGGGACCCGCAGACATTGTCGTAATCGCAAATCAAGGTGCGAAAGTGATCGATGACGCATGTCGGTCAGAGTGTTCGACTTTAATCGTTTGCAGACAAATATTCCGCAATTGGACCTCCAACGCTCTATTAACGTTATGAACCTTTGAAGTTCTGCTTGAAATGGGCTCGAGTAGGCGGCGCAGTAAACCTAGGTTTTGATACACCTCGGTTTACTGCGGTTATTAACGGTATCGATACGGTATCGAAACTCGGCTGAGGTATCGGTACAGTTTCAATACTGACACGTGACAAATTCACGTGATGGCGCGCTGGTGCTCAGGCAAGCTGAAAGTGGTGGGATAAGGGGGCGGGGGGCGGAGCGGTGCGCCAATACGTGTTAAAAGCAGTTTCGAAACGTTACTAACGTTCAAACAGGGCTCTCTCGGTACAAAACAAGTTTCAGGCCACCGTCTCGAGTGCATAAAAAATGAGCAGGTTCCAAAAGCTTCATATGGACGAATATGGGGACACCCAGGATTGAACTGGGGACCTCCAGAAGACAGAAGAAATACTTCAGTCTGTTGCTCTCCCAACTGAGCTATGTCCCCTATGACGGGTGGTATTGCCTATCCTTCATCACGCTGCCCTTCAGAGTACTCTTAAGACTTGTGAACATGACGCTCTCATTCTGCATGTCTCTTGAGTAAACGAAAGGTGAAGCGCTATTTGTGCCCACTGCAGACCCCATCGATGCCCCATCCCTGAAATGCGGGGAGGTCGCTGTTCTTCAGTGATACTCAAGGGACTGACTACGAATATAGAAAATCACTCAAGATTTACAGTGGCCAAATACACATGTAATAGAGTCGCTTCAGATTCGCTCCATCCTTCTGACGTCTCTCTCCGGGTAACGCACTCACTATAGACCGAGTGCGAGGGCGTGCTGCGTCTTTGCAGGCCACCATCATAGACCATCATGATTCTTCGAGCACATCCGGCTCTGATCATGCTGCCCAACCCCCATCGCATTTGATTAAATTGATTTCACGATCCGAGTCCGGGGCCAGCTGAAATTTTAAATCTCCCTCGAGATCCACCCCGAAGCCGGTGCCTGCTACTCTGTATACTCAGTCCTGACTTTTCAAAACCCCGACTTGAAATCAATAAACGCGGCGGATGTGCTCGTATATATGTACACCTGATGAGCACCGAGCCTTTGCCCCAGGTCACCTCTGATCAAATGCAGTGGTCCTCCGAGACGGTTCAAACCACCTGCACGCGAAGCTCCCAGCTTCCCACCTCCACGCGTACGTCGGTCCTGGCCGAATACGGAGAAGGCGCTTTCAGCTTATTTTGATCATCACGCCACCAATGTAAAACCGGCTAAAAGCCTTGCTCTCATGACAAAAGCCAAGTGGGCTAGGTAGCTACATAACATGTCTCCATGCAGAAACCGAATTATTTTTAATCTGACAACCCATTGAATGGACGTGCGCTTCGAAGTTCACACAGGAAGGCGATGCGGAAGGGACCAGGGCTTGGGCAGATATAGATATGAACGACCCTTGTTCGTGTCAACCTTCCAAGAAACCTCCATGTTCATCCAGACAACAGGGTACGTGTCGCGGTGTCGTCTTCATCGTTCTCTAACAGCCTGCAGACTAGTCCCCACGCTTCCACAAGAGGTGATCGATGTCGTTATCGATCACTTGGTTGACTGTCCTTCATCTCTGAAAGCGTGCTCGTTGGTGTGTTCGTCTTGGACGTACTTCAGCCAAGCACAACTCTTCTCGACCATTCTGCTTGATGGAACGCCGTATCCGAGCGCGAAAACGGTCCCTCCCATCGTCAAATTCACCCGCTTCCTGCGAAAGGCTCCCCGTTTCGCGCGCTTCGTGCGCGCCCTAGAGATAAAGGATGGCGACGACTATATCACCAATCGCTGGCTGCTAGACTCGGTTGGGCGTTTGGAATCCCTTCTCCCCGTCCTCACGAACGTCCACACGCTCCATATCAACTTCCGTAGCCTCTCGTGGAGCGCCGCTCACATCGTGAAGAGGCCTCTTCGCGAAATGCTGCAGCACCCTGAGTTGAGGCACGTCACTATAAGCGGAATCATGGGCATCCCCAGTTTAGACCATCTCTTCTCACTTTTTGGTAAGGGGTCCAAAATCCGAGACCTTCACCTAGTAAACGTCCAGACGAATGGTCCGAGCGATGAGTCCCGAGTGTACGTCCCGGTAGCGTCAAGTTGCCTCTTGATGTTCTCACGCTATCCCTTTCCTCCACCGACATATTGAACCTCGCGGACTGGGTTCCTTTCTCGACGAGAGTCGCGGACTTCTCGGGGCTCCGCAGACTGCGCATATGTATCGTCGAGCCGTCGGAAGTGAGGGCTGCCGCTCGACTCCTCGAGACAATCACAGCCGATTCTCTAGAGAGCGTCGAAATTCAATTAGACGACCTTGGTAAGCTGCCACGAGACTATCCAAACATTTTTTATTGACCTTCGCAACTTTCAAACCCCAGATCCAACGGATTCTCGACAATGCGGCAATCTGCCAGATATTAGCCGCTTCCGACATGTCCTCCTGACGATAACGTCTGGTTGCGTTGAAAACACTATTAGACGTGAAGGTAGGACATCGGCACCAGTCGCAGCTCTATGGTGGGCTAGAATTCTGCGGAACATTCAGGATGGCTGCGTCGAGGAAGTAACGTTGACTTTCCCAAGGTCCGAGGCGTACCCCCTACCGGATATCCACAAGGCACAGTGGAACGCTCTCGATGCCGTGTTGACGAGGCCGGAGATGGCAAAGCTGAAGACAGTATATCTACAGGGAGATCTGCAGCATTTACAGAAACAAGCGAAGGTGATACGACAGGCGTTTCCGACGTTGCAGAAGAACGGGCTTTTGGTTCTGCAGGTGAGCAAAATGTATTCATCTTTGATACGTGATTGACACATACCTGCAGAGCCAATGAGGTCAATCGACTGTGTGGAGCTCATTCATAGGGTGCGTCCGTCAGAGCGGAAACGCCTAGGATATTGAGTCTGATGACACCAAGAAGCCGATGGGAGAGGACATTAACTATATTAGAACGCGATTAGCGCCAAGATAACAGCGATTCAGAATGAGTGAAGTCAGATTGGTCTGCGCCGATGTGCATATGTAGTCTAGATCGAAATAATAAATAACTAAGTGACCTGGTGAGTTAAACACTGAGGGATAATGAGGTGGATGGCTCACGTCATATTACTTCTCGACGCGACCGAACAACCGTGTATCCTCGCTTCGGACGTCTAAGAAGCGTCTGCTGCTCTTTCGTAAGAACCTCATGTGCTGCCACATTCTCCACATCCACCAATTCCTTCACTTTGAGAATTTTACCAGCAACTATTGGGTCGTGGGGGAAGAAGACAATCTGATTTCGTCGGTGAATTCCAAGGGATTCGAGGGTCCCTTTGACTTTGTCTCCTAGTGATATTCCGGAGCGACGAAGGGTGATTTTGTAGTGCGTTTTGGGAGCGTTATCGAGGGATTGGGGGCCGCCTTGGTCGCCAATGCCGTGTCCACGCCGCCCTGTAGCTAGGTTGTCGCAACGAGTTCATTAGACATGAAGACATTGTCTGTAGAGCATTAGGGCGCGAACTGCAAACATAGGATAGCACTTACCCGAACGCGTTGGAAAGAGGAAAGAGGAAACAACACAGCCACCACTCCTTCCGAATTCGGTCCGACTCCAGGTCCGATCTTCTTCCCACGCTATCCTCCTCCTTCCCAAAATTTCCTCAGACGAAGAGTTGTCAGAATGGAAGGATCGGTGCGTCCAAGCGATCTTATTTTGGTAATCGACTTACAAAAACGTAGGTAGAGCTCCAATGTTCTCAACAAATCCATGCAAGGACTCTGGTCAAATCATCGCAAAACCAAGCTAAACTTGAATGCTGCATCGAGCGCGCCTCAGACTCCCCAGATGGACCCTCAACTCCCCGTAGAGGTGAACAATGAGGAACCGCCGCAAACCGCTTATGTACAGACACCCCTGGTGGTGCCAGAACCAACTGAACCTCCTCCCTCTTCCGCCAAACGCAAAATCAGGTCTTCTCGCGAAGACGGCGCGAAAACGAACTAAATTATCGTCCAATCCACCTCCAAAGAACTACACACCACCTACCGCGCGTCTATCTGATCTTGGTGGAGTCGATGCTTGTGTTGAAAAGATGCTCGAAATCGTAGCAATGCCGCTTTGCCATCCGGAAGTTTATCTGCATACCGGCGTCCAGCCCCCTCGAGGCGTGTTGCTTCATGGTCCACCCGGATGCGGGAAGACACTTCTTGCAAATGCCATGGCTGGGGTAAGAATCTGTCCTTCGAAGCGACGCGCCTAATATCGAACAGGAACTTGGTATGCCGTTCATAAATATATCGGCGCCGTCTATAGTGTCTGGAATGTCCGGAGAATCGGAAAAGACACTGAGAGATGCTTTTGATGAAGCAAAGGTATATCAACCCTTGTTGGACAATGCCAAATTCTGATGGGTCTCTAGAGAGTCGCGCCCTGTATACTGTTCATCGATGAGATTGACGCTATCACTCCAAAACGTGAAAGTGCTCAAAGAGAAATGGAGCGACGAATAGTGGCCCAATTTCTTACGTGCATGGATGGTAAGTTAGAGTAGTTTTTGGTGTCAATCGATGTGTCCTAACATTGATAGACATGTCATGGGAGAAGAACGAGTACAAACCCGTCATTGTCATTGGCGCCACGAATCGTCCAGACTCTCTAGATGCCGCGCTACGACGTGCGGGTCGATTTGATCATGAAATCAGCATGGGTGTTCCAGATGATGAAGGACGCGAAAGGTCAGTTTTCCCTGATATCCTTGGATGAGGTCTTACATTGTTTGTAGAATTCTACGAGTCCTCTGTGCAAAGCTAAGATTAGAGGGAGACTTCAATTTCGCTGCCCTCGCCAAGGCTACACCAGGATATGTTGGCGCCGATCTGTCTGCTCTCACTGCAGCAGCAGGTATCATCGCTGTGAAGCGTATCTTCGAACAACTTTCCGAAGGAACTTTGACTCTGCCTTCCGTCTCTACAGACCAGGATGCTGCCATGCAGGTCGATGAAGTAGTTCAACCGTCTGAAAATGTTGCTTCTACTTCACAAGCCCTACCGACACCCTTAACCTCGTCATTATCCTTCCCCACCTCCTCCATTCACTCCATAGCCCACTTCCTGAATGCCCATCCCGATTCTTTGACAACCGAGCAATTAGAACCGCTGTACATCACGGCCGCAGATTTCACCGTAGCACTGACACAGGTCCAACCCTCCTCCAAACGCGAAGGTTTCGCTACCGTCCCAGACGTATCCTGGGCCGACATTGGAGCATTGCACCGCACTCGGGACGAGCTACATATGGCTATCGTGCAACCCATCAGAAGACCGGAGCTGTTCAGTGCGGTCGGTATCGAAGCGGCGTGTGGTGTGCTGCTCTGGGGCCCACCGGGCTGCGGTAAGACCTTACTGGCTAAAGCGGTCGCGAATGAATCCCGGGCAAACTTTATCAGCGTGAAAGGTCCAGAATTGCTGAACAAGGT